AAAACAACATATCATTGGTCCTACCCACGAGGGTGGCCACACCCTGGACTTGGTGATCACCAGGCAATATGATCAGGTTATTAAGTCTGCCCCGATGATTGATCGGTTTATCTCTGACCATGCCGCAGTACTGTGTCAACTTGATTCAGTGAAACCCTGTACAGCTGTTAAGGAAATCAGTTACAGGCAGCTAAAATCTATTGACATGGATGCACTCAGAGCTGATTTAACGACGTCTGAATTGTGTACCAATGTTTTTACGGATTTGGATATGATGGTCTCCTGCTACAACTCCACACTGTCGTCGTTACTTGATAAATATGCCCCCCTGAGAACTAAGTCTGTTGCTAATAGGAAGCGTGTGCCTTGGTTTAACCAAAACATTAAGGATGCTATTAAGGCTAGGCGGAGAGCTGAGAGGAAATGGCGCTATTCTAAATCAGCACAGGATCTAAGTGTTTTCAAAAAGAAGAAAAACCATGCAATATACTTGATGAACCAAGCTCGCTGTGATTATTACACCAATCATACCCAGCAAAACAGTTCTGATCAGAGAAAACTGTCTAATGTTACAAAGTCCCTGTTGTGTGACACCAACACTGCATCGTTTCCTCGTGTTGACACTGTTCAGCTTGCCAATGATTTTTGAAATTTCTTTGCACAGAAGATTGAGAATATAAACGCGTCTTTGGCTAATTTATCTACACCATCCGTACCATCTCTACCTGCTACTAACATTACTTGCCTGAAAGAACAGTTTACCGGTTTCAGGACTCTCTCTCAAGAACAAGTGCGCACGTTGATAAGTAGTGCAGCGGGTAAATCTTGTCAACTCGACTCCATTCCCACTCCGATCGTTCTCAAGTTGCTGGATGTTCTATTGCCAGTTATCACTAAGCTGATCAACCTCTCTTTTGACACCGGTGGATTTGCTGAGGCCTGGAAAGAGGCGCTTGTGTTACCATCTCTCAAGAAGCCTGGTTTGGACTTTACGTTCAAAAATTTCCGTCCAGTCAGTAACCTCTCTAATATTTCTAAATTGTCGGAGAGGGCTGAGGCTGACCAGTTTATGGAGCATCTGACTGCCAACAATTTACATTCTCTGCTTCAATCGGCGTATAAACAGCACCACAGCACGGAGACGGCCTTACTTAAAGTTAAAATGATATTTTGATGTCTATGGATGAGCAACATGTCACCTTGCTTGTATTATTAGATTTAAGTGCAGCTTTTGACACGATACATCATGATAAGCTGATTGGTCGTCTTGAGTCTGATTTGGGAATAACTGACAATGCGCTTGCCTGGTTTAAATCGTATCTATCTGACCGGTTCCAGCGTGTCTCTGTAAATGGTAGTCTCTCAGATCTGTTTCCTTTAAAACAATGTGTTCCTCAAGGATCATGTTTGGGCCCCTTGCTTTTCACTTTCTACACGCGCAAACTGTTTCAGATCGTTGAACGCCACCTCCCACAAGTTCACTGCTACGCGGACGATACACAGTTGTATGTATCATTCAGCCCCAATCGATCTGCGAATGCTGATTTTGCCATCAAGTCCATGACTGACTGTGTCAGTGACATAAGGAGTTGGATGATTTCAGATAATCTCATGTTAAACGATGATAAAACAGAATTTTTAATTATAGGTACTAGGCAGCAGCTGGCCAAGGTTAACATCAATTGCATTAGGGTTGGGTCGACTGATATTTGTCCTGTAACAGTAGCTAGAAACCTAGGCTCATGGTTTGATGAGCAGCTCACTATGTCAACTCATATTAGCAAGTTATGTGGTGTTGTCTTTTACTATTTGCATAATATCAAACGCATTCGCAAGTATTTGTCTCGAGAATCGACGGAAATGCTTGTCCATGCATTTATTACATCTCGTGTTGATTATTGTAACAGTCTTTTGTATGGGCTGCCCAACTACCAGCTTAACAAATTGCAGAGAGTTTTGAATGCCTCAGCCAGGCTAGTTTGTAATGCCCCTAGGTTTTGCCACATCTCATCCCTTCTTCGTGGTCTGCATTGGCTTCCTGTTAAAGCCCGGATAGAATTTAAGATACTGCTTATTACGTTCAGAGCAATTCACGGCCTTGCTCCTAAATATCTTTGCGATTTACTAACATTTAAATCGTCCTTATATAACCTTAGATCTTCAGATAGTATTTTACTTTCTATGCCAGCTGCTCGATCGAAGACGTTAGGTGATAGAGCTTTTATGGTAGCAGCGCCAAGGCTCTGGAACTCTCTTCCAAAAGAACTTCGTGCGATTACTGATGTGAACAGTTTTAAGGCGCATATTAAGACTTATCTTTTTAAGACTTTATATTGGTGAGCAATTTTATATTCACTTCTTACTTGCATGCATATATATTCTTTTTATTTTTTATTTATTGTATTTTATTTTATTTTATTATTTTTTTTTTTAATGCACTATCTTTTATTTGTTTCTTTTAAGTAATCTAGTTGTAATGCGCAGCTGATCATTCTCATGTTAAGCTGCGCACAATAAGTTCATAAATTATTATTACTATTATTAACTTTTTTTTTAATCATTTTCGAAACAGCAAAATAGTGCAATTAAAGTGGTCACCTATCGCAAAATGCTTGTCACAAAAATGTTATGAAACTAGGATATAATGTTATAAAGTAGAAATAAAGACAATAATACTTATATTTTCTGTTCCAAAAAGTCAAAAATCTCTCTTGTAATTGGCTAATCATGTTAGTAACCATGGCGACACCAATATCCTCACACGTGAAAGATAAAAATAGTATCTTCACTGCGCGATGAGGATATGATTTTTTGGTAAAAGGAAAATTCCTGGTATTTAATTCATCAGTCTCTATATAATAAAAAGTTTTAAAACAAATTACGCTCACCATATGCTTGTAATTTCATAATATCCTATAACTGCATGGCAGCCAAGAGCCCTGGCGTGGGATCGAATCTCCATCCTGACTTCACTCCACCAAGCGTCCCTTGTGTCCGGTTCATCTGACACAAAATAAGAGAAAGCCAAGCTGTATTAAGGTGGCTCGATAGGGTTTTTTAGCGTCAATACCTCCCAAGTTTGAGCAAACTACGTCACAGTTAACAAAGATTTGGAAAAATTACCACCACAGCTGTATTAGATAAGGATGAAAATTTGAAATGATCAGGGTTACATTGACAACGGAGTTGTCATAGCAACGAAATGACGCCATGACTTATTGTACTTGCAGCCGTATTTCTCGGAACTAGGAACTGTTCTTCCAAAATCGTTCACGAGAGCTTTTTTTCCAATAGCGGTCTTGATGTTCGTTAAGTTTAAGAGAAATCTGTCAAAGCGTTATTGAGATATTTTAGGGATGAAGTTTTTGTGGTTAAAAATACAGTAAAAAATGGACAATCTTGATGTTCGGTCGTTATCTGTAGAAAACGAAGCGCTCTTGACATGCAATTTCACCTCATAGAAGTTTCAATCTTTTTAAAAACGTGCGTGAAAGATCATGGAGATAGCTCTAGCCGATTGCTAGAAAGAAGGATTTGATTAGTAGGTATCGAGGCGCTCTTGTTAGCGGTTTTGTAAACATTTGGTCTACTTTAACAAACTAGCAAATAATTTTTAAACCGCTCGATAGATTTTTTCAAAAATTTGAGATTCTTGAGATTAACCGTCCTTTCATATGACCTTTGAGTTTCAAGATTTTTGATATATTGTAAGACAAGTGAGAGCCTCTCTTTATTCCGGGTATTGTCTCCGAGTTTTATATTTTCGTGGTCAACAATAGCTAGCATTTGTGCATATTTCAAATGAATAATGAGAGGCTCTCACTTGTAAACACAAAACTTCCAGCAAAGAAAAAAATAGCGAATACTCCGATTCCAGAAAAAAACGGAAGTTGCATGGAAGTGAGGCTTTATAGCCCTCGAGACAAATTTAAAATAACTAACATGGCGGACTATCAAGTCGATCTTACTCCAGAGGACATTCCTTGTGCTAGCTTTAGTAAAGAAGAGATAGGAAAATTGACCGTTGCTTATCTAAAAATTTGGTTAAAATGCCGCCGTATAAATCAAAATGGTAATAAAAAGACACAGCTGGAAAGGTAGGTGAACTGATCAGTTGCTGTAGTTGGTGTAGTTAGTGTAGTTATAGCCTTCATTCCTAAAAATCCCGTTTTTAGTTTTGGCAAAATAATAAATTGTTTACATGGTAACATACTTGCAGTTATTTGACTGACGGCCTGTATTTGTTGTCTCAAGATTCATGTTTAACCGTGATGTATGACAACCTCGTTCCCAGGGTTCTCTAGGAGAGAGAACCTGGGAACGAGGTTGGATGTATGATGGGAAGTGACATTAGGTCTTTTGAAAGATTGTTGGCATTGTACCCGTATAGTGCATTCGATGTTCACCAATTTTAAGCGTTGGCTATGGATTCTACTAGGTTTAGCGGTCTTTGCACGGAGCTAACTGGAACCGAGCCAATTTTTCAACCTTCTTGTGGTGAGGAACCTCATGAGTTTCTTTAACCCTTTCACTGCCAAACGTGGCCAAAGGCAAATTTCGACCAAATTATCTATTGACATGGATGCACTCAGAGCTGATTTAACGACGTCTGAATTGTGTACCAATGTTTTTACGGATTTGGATATGATGGTCTCCTGCTACAACTCCACACTGTCGTCGTTACTTGATAAATATGCCCCCCTGAGAACTAAGTCTGTTGCTAATAGGAAGCGTGTGCCTTGGTTTAACCAAAACATTAAGGATGCTATTAAGGCTAGGCGGAGAGCTGAGAGGAAATGGCGCTATTCTAAATCAGCACAGGATCTAAGTGTTTTCAAAAAGAAGAAAAACCATGCAATATACTTGATGAACCAAGCTCGCTGTGATTATTACACCAATCATACCCAGCAAAACAGTTCTGATCAGAGAAAACTGTCTAATGTTACAAAGTCCCTGTTGTGTGACACCAACACTGCATCGTTTCCTCGTGTTGACACTGTTCAGCTTGCCAATGATTTTTGAAATTTCTTTGCACAGAAGATTGAGAATATAAACGCGTCTTTGGCTAATTTATCTACACCATCCGTACCATCTCTACCTGCTACTAACATTACTTGCCTGAAAGAACAGTTTACCGGTTTCAGGACTCTCTCTCAAGAACAAGTGCGCACGTTGATAAGTAGTGCAGCGGGTAAATCTTGTCAACTCGACTCCATTCCCACTCCGATCGTTCTCAAGTTGCTGGATGTTCTATTGCCAGTTATCACTAAGCTGATCAACCTCTCTTTTGACACCGGTGGATTTGCTGAGGCCTGGAAAGAGGCGCTTGTGTTACCATCTCTCAAGAAGCCTGGTTTGGACTTTACGTTCAAAAATTTCCGTCCAGTCAGTAACCTCTCTAATATTTCTAAATTGTCGGAGAGGGCTGAGGCTGACCAGTTTATGGAGCATCTGACTGCCAACAATTTACATTCTCTGCTTCAATCGGCGTATAAACAGCACCACAGCACGGAGACGGCCTTACTTAAAGTTAAAATGATATTTTGATGTCTATGGATGAGCAACATGTCACCTTGCTTGTATTATTAGATTTAAGTGCAGCTTTTGACACGATACATCATGATAAGCTGATTGGTCGTCTTGAGTCTGATTTGGGAATAACTGACAATGCGCTTGCCTGGTTTAAATCGTATCTATCTGACCGGTTCCAGCGTGTCTCTGTAAATGGTAGTCTCTCAGATCTGTTTCCTTTAAAACAATGTGTTCCTCAAGGATCATGTTTGGGCCCCTTGCTTTTCACTTTCTACACGCGCAAACTGTTTCAGATCGTTGAACGCCACCTCCCACAAGTTCACTGCTACGCGGACGATACACAGTTGTATGTATCATTCAGCCCCAATCGATCTGCGAATGCTGATTTTGCCATCAAGTCCATGACTGACTGTGTCAGTGACATAAGGAGTTGGATGATTTCAGATAATCTCATGTTAAACGATGATAAAACAGAATTTTTAATTATAGGTACTAGGCAGCAGCTGGCCAAGGTTAACATCAATTGCATTAGGGTTGGGTCGACTGATATTTGTCCTGTAACAGTAGCTAGAAACCTAGGCTCATGGTTTGATGAGCAGCTCACTATGTCAACTCATATTAGCAAGTTATGTGGTGTTGTCTTTTACTATTTGCATAATATCAAACGCATTCGCAAGTATTTGTCTCGAGAATCGACGGAAATGCTTGTCCATGCATTTATTACATCTCGTGTTGATTATTGTAACAGTCTTTTGTATGGGCTGCCCAACTACCAGCTTAACAAATTGCAGAGAGTTTTGAATGCCTCAGCCAGGCTAGTTTGTAATGCCCCTAGGTTTTGCCACATCTCATCCCTTCTTCGTGGTCTGCATTGGCTTCCTGTTAAAGCCCGGATAGAATTTAAGATACTGCTTATTACGTTCAGAGCAATTCACGGCCTTGCTCCTAAATATCTTTGCGATTTACTAACATTTAAATCGTCCTTATATAACCTTAGATCTTCAGATAGTATTTTACTTTCTATGCCAGCTGCTCGATCGAAGACGTTAGGTGATAGAGCTTTTATGGTAGCAGCGCCAAGGCTCTGGAACTCTCTTCCAAAAGAACTTCGTGCGATTACTGATGTGAACAGTTTTAAGGCGCATATTAAGACTTATCTTTTTAAGACTTTATATTGGTGAGCAATTTTATATTCACTTCTTACTTGCATGCATATATATTCTTTTTATTTTTTATTTATTGTATTTTATTTTATTTTATTATTTTTTTTTTTAATGCACTATCTTTTATTTGTTTCTTTTAAGTAATCTAGTTGTAATGCGCAGCTGATCATTCTCATGTTAAGCTGCGCACAATAAGTTCATAAATTATTATTACTATTATTAACTTTTTTTTTAATCATTTTCGAAACAGCAAAATAGTGCAATTAAAGTGGTCACCTATCGCAAAATGCTTGTCACAAAAATGTTATGAAACTAGGATATAATGTTATAAAGTAGAAATAAAGACAATAATACTTATATTTTCTGTTCCAAAAAGTCAAAAATCTCTCTTGTAATTGGCTAATCATGTTAGTAACCATGGCGACACCAATATCCTCACACGTGAAAGATAAAAATAGTATCTTCACTGCGCGATGAGGATATGATTTTTTGGTAAAAGGAAAATTCCTGGTATTTAATTCATCAGTCTCTATATAATAAAAAGTTTTAAAACAAATTACGCTCACCATATGCTTGTAATTTCATAATATCCTATAACTGCATGGCAGCCAAGAGCCCTGGCGTGGGATCGAATCTCCATCCTGACTTCACTCCACCAAGCGTCCCTTGTGTCCGGTTCATCTGACACAAAATAAGAGAAAGCCAAGCTGTATTAAGGTGGCTCGATAGGGTTTTTTAGCGTCAATACCTCCCAAGTTTGAGCAAACTACGTCACAGTTAACAAAGATTTGGAAAAATTACCACCACAGCTGTATTAGATAAGGATGAAAATTTGAAATGATCAGGGTTACATTGACAACGGAGTTGTCATAGCAACGAAATGACGCCATGACTTATTGTACTTGCAGCCGTATTTCTCGGAACTAGGAACTGTTCTTCCAAAATCGTTCACGAGAGCTTTTTTTCCAATAGCGGTCTTGATGTTCGTTAAGTTTAAGAGAAATCTGTCAAAGCGTTATTGAGATATTTTAGGGATGAAGTTTTTGTGGTTAAAAATACAGTAAAAAATGGACAATCTTGATGTTCGGTCGTTATCTGTAGAAAACGAAGCGCTCTTGACATGCAATTTCACCTCATAGAAGTTTCAATCTTTTTAAAAACGTGCGTGAAAGATCATGGAGATAGCTCTAGCCGATTGCTAGAAAGAAGGATTTGATTAGTAGGTATCGAGGCGCTCTTGTTAGCGGTTTTGTAAACATTTGGTCTACTTTAACAAACTAGCAAATAATTTTTAAACCGCTCGATAGATTTTTTCAAAAATTTGAGATTCTTGAGATTAACCGTCCTTTCATATGACCTTTGAGTTTCAAGATTTTTGATATATTGTAAGACAAGTGAGAGCCTCTCTTTATTCCGGGTATTGTCTCCGAGTTTTATATTTTCGTGGTCAACAATAGCTAGCATTTGTGCATATTTCAAATGAATAATGAGAGGCTCTCACTTGTAAACACAAAACTTCCAGCAAAGAAAAAAATAGCGAATACTCCGATTCCAGAAAAAAACGGAAGTTGCATGGAAGTGAGGCTTTATAGCCCTCGAGACAAATTTAAAATAACTAACATGGCGGACTATCAAGTCGATCTTACTCCAGAGGACATTCCTTGTGCTAGCTTTAGTAAAGAAGAGATAGGAAAATTGACCGTTGCTTATCTAAAAATTTGGTTAAAATGCCGCCGTATAAATCAAAATGGTAATAAAAAGACACAGCTGGAAAGGTAGGTGAACTGATCAGTTGCTGTAGTTGGTGTAGTTAGTGTAGTTATAGCCTTCATTCCTAAAAATCCCGTTTTTAGTTTTGGCAAAATAATAAATTGTTTACATGGTAACATACTTGCAGTTATTTGACTGACGGCCTGTATTTGTTGTCTCAAGATTCATGTTTAACCGTGATGTATGACAACCTCGTTCCCAGGGTTCTCTAGGAGAGAGAACCTGGGAACGAGGTTGGATGTATGATGGGAAGTGACATTAGGTCTTTTGAAAGATTGTTGGCATTGTACCCGTATAGTGCATTCGATGTTCACCAATTTTAAGCGTTGGCTATGGATTCTACTAGGTTTAGCGGTCTTTGCACGGAGCTAACTGGAACCGAGCCAATTTTTCAACCTTCTTGTGGTGAGGAACCTCATGAGTTTCTTTAACCCTTTCACTGCCAAACGTGGCCAAAGGCAAATTTCGACCAAATTTCCAAACTTCGTTCTCCAAAATTTTGAGAAACAAATAGTATCATGTGAAAGTACAGGCAGAGAGCTTTCATTTGATAGGTCACATCATAGGATTTCGTCCTCAGACTCAAAAGTTAGAGTCACCTTACAAAACTCCATCAAACACTCTGGCAGTGAAAGGATTAACTTCTTAGTAGACCCTCTTAGTATAGTGCTACAGTTTCATCACATATGGAAAACTTGGACTCTCACTCAATTAATACCTGGATGATTTATTTTGTCCAATAGTTTGACAGATCTTGCTGTTACAACACCTCCGATGTGTCTTAAAAATCCAGGAGGGAACTTCGTGATAGTAAAAAATGGAAACTCCTGAAATTAAAAAAATATTAAAGATAAAACATGGTAATCTCTGGAAGACATACCGTAAATGATCGATCTCACAGGCGCCATGGACGTCTATTTAATTATAGTAGCCCAAACGGAGAAGGAGCAAGGGTGGTGCAGTGGTGAGAGGACTCGCCTCCCACCAACGTGGCCCGGGTTCGAATCCCGGCGTCGACGCCATATGTGGGTTGAGTTTGTTGTTGGTTCTCTCCTTTGCTCCGAAAGGTTTTTCTCCGGGTACTCCGGTTTTCCCCTCTCCTCAAAAACCAACACTTCCAACTTCCAATTCGATCTGGAACGCAAAGACACGTTTAAACGAGTTCATATGAACTCTTAAGTGCTTCGTGGGTAAAAAAGCAATTTACAATGTTTTTACAATAAGTAAGAGGTGTTTATTCTCATAACTCTTACACACTCCACAAAACTAAACTAACACGATTTCGGCGATTTTTTCACAACAGTTTACAAACTATTGATACGTCTACGATGTTTTAATAGAGAATAATATCGTTTTTTAAGCTCAACTTTTGTCAGTATCCTTACTTTGAACCTGACAGTGAACAAGATGCAATTGCTCCCAGCAGTGTGATTTATTCACGATTCGCACTTTTTTTGGCCGTAAATCACATCATTCCTGTTTCGCAGAAACACACTAGTTAAGCTTTAAGAAACATGTTTGGAAAGCTGACCAAGTGACAATTAATTACAACACTTACTAAGTCATCAACTGTCTTCTGTTTCTGGGTGACTTGCCAAACTTTGGCTTTGGGAAAAGGAGTACCACTAGCACTGCCACTACCACTGTCTACTCCAACACTGCTGGCTAACAAAGTCACCCGATCTGAAAAAAAAANCCATGGACGTCTATTTAATTATAGTAGCCCAAACGGAGAAGGAGCAAGGGTGGTGCAGTGGTGAGAGGACTCGCCTCCCACCAACGTGGCCCGGGTTCGAATCCCGGCGTCGACGCCATATGTGGGTTGAGTTTGTTGTTGGTTCTCTCCTTTGCTCCGAAAGGTTTTTCTCCGGGTACTCCGGTTTTCCCCTCTCCTCAAAAACCAACACTTCCAACTTCCAATTCGATCTGGAACGCAAAGACACGTTTAAACGAGTTCATATGAACTCTTAAGTGCTTCGTGGGTAAAAAAGCAATTTACAATGTTTTTACAATAAGTAAGAGGTGTTTATTCTCATAACTCTTACACACTCCACAAAACTAAACTAACACGATTTCGGCGATTTTTTCACAACAGTTTACAAACTATTGATACGTCTACGATGTTTTAATAGAGAATAATATCGTTTTTTAAGCTCAACTTTTGTCAGTATCCTTACTTTGAACCTGACAGTGAACAAGATGCAATTGCTCCCAGCAGTGTGATTTATTCACGATTCGCACTTTTTTTGGCCGTAAATCACATCATTCCTGTTTCGCAGAAACACACTAGTTAAGCTTTAAGAAACATGTTTGGAAAGCTGACCAAGTGACAATTAATTACAACACTTACTAAGTCATCAACTGTCTTCTGTTTCTGGGTGACTTGCCAAACTTTGGCTTTGGGAAAAGGAGTACCACTAGCACTGCCACTACCACTGTCTACTCCAACACTGCTGGCTAACAAAGTCACCCGATCTGAAAAAAAAAGAAAGAAAAAGATCCAGAGATTATGATGGTCGAGCCAACACTGGCAGTTACTGGCTGGCAATGAGTGAAATAAATGCAAAGACGATCACCGCAGTTAAAGACGTAACCCATTGAAGTGCGACAAGAAGGCCTGCAAAAAATTCAGGCTTGCCAGGACTTGAACCCTGACTTCTGCAATACTGGTGCAGCACTCTAACCAAATGAGCTACCAAGACAACTGGGAGCTGGTTATTAAATTGGTTCGTATATAGATCAGAAAAATGAAGGTGAAATAATGAATATATGAATTGTTAGATATAGGAAATGCGGAATAATGAAGAAATAATGCAAGGAAGATCATCGCAGTTAAAAAGTACTGTTCTCAACATTGTACTTGGGACTGCAACCATGACCCAACCCTGGCATGTACTACTTCAAAAGGTGTGTGTTCACATACGAAACCAGTGAGTGCGACACTCAGGCACTGCCAAAGCACCAAGCGTAAACACAACCTTTATAGCAGTTTACCTTTGGGAGGAGATTCTGATCCAGGATCAGAGTCAGATGATGAAACTCGTCTACGAGAACTTGGAGCCATAATTTTACTGGGTGGAACTGGCAAGGACTGTACAGTGTCTGGAAAGTTAAATCTGTGGACGAAATATTCAATTTAATGCACAGAGGTTTTCACTATCACTGCCATCATGGTTGTTTAAACAATAATAATCAAGGCTGCTGCCTAACGGGTGCCCGGTCACCAAAGGTGCCTACAATTTGCCCGCGAGTGACCAAAATTTCAAACAAGGAGCCCAAATGGATGCCTAAAACTTATGATTTCCAAGTCAACTTCAGGTGAATGAACGTCAAAATTCGGTACTCATTCTGCGCTTTTGAAACGAAAACGGAAAACGTTTGGTCATCCACCGTAGACAAAAAAATATTTTTGCGAATAATTAAAAGGTAAACAAACAAGCACTTGTCTTGAAATTTGCTTCGGTGACTTCCGTTGCAGTGCAGTTGAAGTTTCTCATCTGAAAATGGCCTCAAATGAATTTAAGAAGCAATTTGTCGCTGTGATGTGTTGCTGTAACTAGTCGCCCAGCCTGTACACACAGAGTGATCCATCGCCATGAATTGTTCCTGCAACTTGTCACCTATACTGTGTTCCTACCTCTACCGCAAAGAGCAAATGTCAATATGTATCACGTGACCAGATTTTCCTTTTACTGATTACTGTTCATCATATACGTACAAAACTATTTACTACAAAAAAGTGTAGTTTCACATGAGTTTCATCTAAAAGAATGATATTAGTTTGCACAGCTTTTATCTACTCATTTCCTATTTCGAAAAATTTGATGTTTGCTGTGTGCCATAAACATGAATCAAAATCTCTCTATTGTCATAATTACACAACAATTCTAAATTATAATTATATTGAGTAAATTACTGCACCCTGAATCAGAGACGATGCTGCCAGGACCAACTTCTCCAGAGGATGTTAGCACATGAACAGGTGTTGAAGGACGAGAGGTACCAGCTGCTGTGAGTGCATTTGCCAGAGTGACGGCAGTTCCTATACCTCTTACTACAATGCCATATTCACCTTCCAAATCAAAGCACTGTCGATAGCTAGTCAAGACAAAAAAAGAATGGCACAGCAAAAATTTAACATTAAAAGCAGTATTGTCATGAATAAAAATATTTGGAATCAATATTAGAGTGATCCAATGAAAACAGACTTCCAATTTAGTATGTAAAATGTTTATTTCCCACTTAATTTTCCAGAAACCAAATGACATCTAAAATTTGGAGTGATCAAAGATCAAGGTGATAAAACTTTGCCTAGTGAAAGTTCAAAACTTTGCTCTGTGTGTTGGCCAAGTCATCATGAGTCAGGACTACTGACAATGACCACATGATTGATGTCATAGCTATTACTGTCATTAAACCAAGCGTACATTAATTTATAGAAAAAGACATACTGTCCTCTCAAAGTTCTAATAAAAAAGTGTAATATAAAACATTTTACTAATACAGTCAACTCCTGCCTTGCAGACACCCAGCTATAATGGATAGCCCAATAATACAGACAGAAGTTAAATCCCAGGCAAAGATAAATTACAGAGATTTGACACAAATAAACTCCCCCTATTTCCGACTCTCAGTAGTGTGGACACGAACTCAGTTGAGGTCCCTCAGTGTCCGCTATAAAGAGAGTTGACTGTACTTCATAGTATAAACCACCAAGATTAAACATCAAACAGTGCAATCCTCATTGAAATGCAGTCTCAATAATCAAAAGCCCATCTAGACTACTCCTTATATTATTATAAATAATACAAATGAATTGGTCACCAAAAACAAATTTTAAAAAAATTCAGACAAACCCAATAACAGCATTTCCCCCAGCATCCAACACCTTCAGACCAATCTTTCGTTGAAGCTCTCCTGTTGGTTGCGAGAAAATGTTGTGGTTGAAATAAAATAACTATATAGAAACAGTGGACAATTTTTATTGTACTGCATTATGTGTGGTGTATTTAAATGTTCACATGAAGGGTTTCTGATTTTCATTGTCAGGCAAGTAAAAAGAGTATCTGTGATCAGTGAAAGTTGTACTTGTATTTTAGCAAATTACCTTAGTTTTTAAATTTCCAGAAAAACCTCCACTCTACTCTCTACCCCAAGGAAAAGTCACTGTAATTCCATATTTAAGCTAGGTTGAATAACGGTTTAAACTGGGAACAGATTTTACTTGCAACATAGATACTGTCTTCCTAATACATTTGGAAATTTACAATCAATCATAAACAGGCGCGGATCTAGGATAAATGCTGACCGATTTCCTCAACGAGTGCCGAAAATGCAAGCTTCTTGGCGGTCCAGGGGCATGCTCCCCCGGTAAATGTTTTAGATTTTAACTCCCTAAAGTCTCCTTTCTCGGGGTTCCGAGTCACTCAGATAGGATATTGGCCAGTTCCATTTACCTTGGATAAAGCCTTGCAACTTGGAAAGTTTTTTATTTATTAAAAATATATCTATTTAAGAAAAATCTGACCGATTTCCGTAAAACGGTGGAAACCAGTGTGGATCTGCGCCTGATAAATAACCTGCACCTTGCACTTTTGTTATAAAACGGGAAGAATAACTATCTCCAGAACTTGCTGACTGACTGACTTCTAATGAACTCTCTACCTATCTTTCAGTTTTTACTTTCCGGCTTTACAGCCCACACTGGTTAATTATAAACAAGGATCAACTTCAAAAGGAGGTGCCAAGGAAGCCTTAGACAAACTATAGCACTAGATAGATTAGGGATTCCCCATGATTACAGCTCATAGGTTGGGAATGAATGAATGAATGAATGAACGTTTAACTTCACATATTAAAAAAAAAATTGGTAGTAGAAAAATAAATATCAGATAGAAAAACAGATGTGATCAAAAACCTGAAAGTTTGGTGAAAAGCCTCTGTCGTGCTTCATTAGAAGACCTAGGAGTTCTAATCTTGTCAATCCATTGGTATTCTGGGTCATCATTAACCACCAGTTCCTCAACAAAGCCATGAATGAAAATGGCTTTATGACCAAATGGAACAGAACAAGCTGAAAATAAAAAACAAGCCAAATGAACTTTCAATCAAGGATAAAAGTTTACTGAGAGAAGAGGATTAAAAAAATATGAAAGAACTAATATAAATTTTGATTTTGAAAGTACAGTGTACACAGCAAGAGCAAAATAAATTTCACAAGTGAATCTTGTTCAATTGTACTTACTGTAAAAGAATTGTACACCACAGGAACTCTGCCTAAACTTGTTAGAATCAATAAAATAATCCACTTTGACATTAACTTTAACCTCACCACGAATACCTGTTGACAAGCGAAACAAACATTGTTATCTGTTTAACTATAATTTATGAATGGATGGATGGACAAATTGAAGGACATAATAATTGTTGAACAACCAAGAAAAATCAGAATAGTTTAATAAAAACCTATAGAGGACAAAAACAAATTAACACATGGTGATGACTTGTAATGTTATGATCATATGGAACAATTTATTTTGGGGTTTCCCAATTAACCTTATATTATGAAGGCGGTGTAGGTGGGAGACAGGGTTATTTTGTTAGGGAAGAATTTGTTTTCAAGGCTTAATCTACTGTGATCAAATGTGCATGACTGCTATTTTTGGGGTGTACATATAAGACCATTATCTCAACATGACAGATTTGTTTTATTCTTGGACTGTTTGCAAATAATTTTTTTCTCTAAAATCAGTTAGCCTCGCCCACAAAAGTCATATGAATCTGCCCTAAAGTTAACTGATTTGTGGAATACAAGTTTATTGTTTGATTTAAATAATAAATTTATTAATGGCAGCTTCACTTTTTAGCCCTGGTTAAATCTATATATTATTTTGATGGAACAAAGACACAAATAACTTGAAGTAGGAAGGATGGATGAATGAGCTGAGATGAATTCACGAATGAATCACTAAAAGAGTCAATGAATGAAGGAAGGAAAAAAAGAAGTGAAATGAGCAAAAGAATAAATCAATCAATTGATTATTAATTAATTAATATTACTTAGGCAATAGTAGTAGATGGAAGGATAGGTTGTGGGATTGAGATACAAGCAAAGAAACTAGCAGATGTAACAGAAGACTTAACAGACCAATGTATAGAGAGGGCTACTGGGCGCATCATACAAACTCAAACAGTTTGCAAACGTTTGGCTTTTTTAGTCCAGAACAAGACCATCTCCTTTACGGAGATATAACGTGCCTAGCCTAGAGCCCAAATACTACCTCCCCACCTCATTCACAGTACCTTTCAATGGCACATCCAGATAAGGTAAGATGGGCCTGCTCTCTAACCAAAACAAAGTATCCAATTGCATTCTCTCTTATACAGGCATTGGCTTGGTCTGGAAATAAGAGGTGAGTAAGGCTCCACCGCCACCCCCCTCCCCCCCCCCCCACCCCTGCTAGATCTACTTTTCCCCAGTCAGGATATATACCATGCATAGTGTCATATATTGGAAACCAGCCATCAATACTTCCAGGTGGATCCTGAGTCAGAAGAGGACCTAAACTGACGTTAACCTGAAACAAAATATCAGGATAGTAAGTAAGTAAGTAAAAAACAAAAACAGCCTTTAATTGCACCATTTTTGATTGTAAATAGTTCTAACATTTACTTTATATCTCAGTGTGTGTACTAGCTGTGTTCAACCAATTTAGCAGGCTGTTTTTCACATTAATTCAGTGGTCAAATGATCTCTCAGTCAGAAGTCAGCCCTGTGAAAGCTCTCCCAATTAGGAAAGTCGAGTCAGGAAACTTCACACAGTTAAAAAGCACTTCAAGGTTCTTTGCAGTATGAAGTTGAGGGTGAAGTGGAGTTAAAAAAGTCCCCTTCATCAATTAACCCATTGACTCTTTTAAACATATTAAGCAATTTATATTAACTGTCACAAAAATGAATTGAAGACACATGTATGGTCTGTATGAGTTGAGAAATTTTCAAGGACTCTATATTCAACCACTAGGAGGGATAATCACCCTTACACCTGGGATGATAGGACTAAATAAGACTCAGGAAGGTTCTTAAGATATTTAATGCAAAGGTACATGTCTGTATATGAGTTAAGTTGACTTCATACCGTATATTAAACCAAGTACAAAATACTTTATGTGGGAATCTAAACACTATCAGCAAGGCAGTTGAAAAATGTATTGTAAAATGGTTACCAAAACTCTTGTAAACAGAACCATCAAAGAGTCAAAACGAAAGTGGCAAGAAGAATCATTCTTACCTTCCCAATGGCATCATGAGCAGTCACTGTATCATAGTCCATTATTCTGATGAAAAATGATTATAAAATATTGAGCTACAGGATAATAAATAATAATACATTCAAACCTCCACGTACGACCATCTCTTGCAGCAACCAGCACCAGTGAGCTATAACCAATTTGCTCTCGTAAATGACCATCTCTTGTAAGCAAATATCGACACCTTTTGGGATGACCGCTCTGAAATTTTCTACTACCTTAAAGCTCTTGTAAGTGACCATGCACTTGAAACGGGGTCTGACCACCACGTCAGCATGCAAAGAAAGTGCTGTCCAATAGCCCGGGACTTTAATAAGTGGATTTTGCTATCGGGCAAGTGAATTTTGTTCTTAGCTTGCCCGATGGGCAAGTGAATTTTTTTGAGAATTCAAATTACAGAAGAACTGTGTAATCAAACCCGCTTATCAAAAAGCCTTTGGGGCTAGTGAAAGTGATGTTTGGGCTAGTGCATGCTAGCTACAGCTAGCCCGAATGGCAAGCTGTAAAAGTGACTTTCTTTGCACCCTGCACATATATACGTATTCTTCTAATACAAAGAGTGAAAGACAAAAATAATGGACAAAAAGTGTCCTGTTCTTAATTCCAACCCCCGGCCTCACTCCCCTTTTTCTCATAGATCCAGAGTCACGACTTCAAATAAACCAAATTCCAGACCCCAAAGAACTGATTAGAGTCACACACAGAATCCAGTATGACGTTGCAATTGAGTACATCATTCCATCAATCTAAAACAAGTTTATCTGGGGTGTCTAATTCTCAGTCATATTACTTTATGGATACTCAGTATTTATTGATCTGTTTTCCACAATTCAACACAGAGTATTTCTTGTAGAAAATTAATAAAGTGGCAAATAGGTGTGGGTATTGTAGCAACACTTAGCTAACAGCAAGAACATCTGTAACTAACTGGCCTGTAAGCAATGGCCACCATCAGACATAAATTTGCATTTTGAAGGGGAAATGACCTTGGCGTGCAACAAAAACATACAAAGATTTAGTAAAATCAGAATGGGAAAACCTCATCACCTGATCTGCAGTGGTTCATCCTGAAGTTCTTCATCATCAGTCTAAAAGTGAACACAGTTTTTTTCAACAAATTGGTCAAGAACCATAAAATGACAAAAAACAGGTTCTGATCTTTTGATTGCTAGTCTTGTTTCTTCTATTTTTCATAAATCATATGTTCGTTATTCAAGGTTTGCTAGTTTTCATTCCTATTGAATTTTTCAGATCCTGTTTCTGTCCTGGTCTAATTCATAACTTCTGGATCGTATCCCTGTTTTTTTCCATTCAGGTCTTAATTCTCGTTGTTTCCCTCAAGTCTTCTTGTTTTCCATGACTGATGATAGAATACCACTAGTCTATTATAATAATAAATTATCTGAGAAATCAAACAAAATCAAAATAAAGTAATATTTTATAAAAACACAATACACTTTTCATACCTCAAACCGGAACCACTCAGAATTCCACTGAGGATTAAGTGACTTCTTACAGACATCTGTCTTGTACAACACATTACCCAGTCGAACCTATCACAACAATAATATTAACAGTGTACTATTAACTACTTTAAAAAGGTGAAAATAACTTCCTTCAAAACCTTATGACCTGAAATGCTAAAAATTTTCTATGCAGTCAGCCATTGAAGTGTATGTAGCTTAATTTTTTATTATCAAGTCCAGAAGCAATTGAGTGTAGCCCCAGGGGAGGCTTCGCAGATTTTAAGAGATGGGGATGATCAATCAATTTTTTTGGTATTGCAATTTTCGATTCTGGGATTTTTTTGGGAGGGAAAATTTGGCAAGTATTTTTTGGGTGGCTTGATTTAAGTAGGGATTTTGGGGGTATTCAAAACAATCTAAAGATACTTGATAGTGCCCACGTATCCTGCAGGCCGCATAGTTCTACGAATAAGGTACAACCACACTTATTGTGAATGAGTAGGATTGCAAGAGCGGGTGTCTCAAGTGTTGTTAGAATGACTACCAGGCTAGATGCCAAAAAGATAACTTTAGATGGTATGATGAATATACACAAACATTCAATTTCTAATGTTTTTATTTTTCATATTATATCATTTAATGCCTTCTGGAGATTATTAATTCTTGGTAAGGGGATCTTTTTAGGTTTTGTTGGAAGCCCTAGTGATTTGCTTCGGTTTTGATTTTGCCGCTATTTGATCATCCCTGTCACTTGAAATGCAGAGTACCCCCCCCCCCCCCCCCCCCCCAGGCGGGCGGTCAAAAGGTAAACCCTCACAACCTCCCACCACAAAAAAAACAAACCGCAAAAAAATAAACCTGGTGTTTTTACATAATTTTTAAACAAAAAACATATTTAAAAAATTTACTACAAAAAAAAACAAAACAAAAAGACAAAAATAAAAATAATAAATAAAAAAAAAAAAAAAAGTAA